AGCACGTCCGCCATGGCAAACGAGCGGAGCTCACCACCACCGCTCCCTTCTTGTCTTCCTCCACCCTGACTCACCATCCTCTGCTCCTCCCCTAAGTCGCGCCGCTCCTCCCCAGCTCCTTTCCCGAGCACCCCCTCGCCGTCGCGGCCTCGCCGCGGAAGCTGCTGCCGCCAGTGCAGCCTGCTCACGCGGCTAGCAAGCCACAGGCCACCGCGGGCCGTGCTGGAGCCATGCACCGGTGCGCACCAACCTCCTGGTGCTCCGCCTCCACTCCTCGCCACCAACGAGTCTCCTCCGGTTGACATCGACAAGCTCCAGTGCCTCCTCTGTTCATGTTCGCGTCAAGGACCTCGCGCTGAAATTCGTTGAAAAGGAAGGGCCGTTCTGCGAATCTATGACTCATGTGAATAGTGCTCATAAGGACTGGTTCGCTAGGATCTGTATTAGTAAGAAGTATAGGATCCTCGGTGCAAGATCTGTTTTTCTTTTATGGCTGAAACTTTGAAAATGTGTAGTAATTAGTAGAAAAATTGTAAAATAGTAAATGAGGACTTTTTGGAATCCTTATGAAATTATCTATGCAGTAGATCTATAATATGGCATGTTTTAGTTTAAATATTTTGCTGTAAAAATAGATTTGTGCAGTAAGGTTGTAATGCTAGTTGAATTTGTTATTTTCTATAACTGCAGATCTAGGGCTCCAAATGAAGTGAAATTTTTGTGGCATGCTACTCATGTGATAGTTGATGTGTGGTAAAAATTTCATGAGTATTGGATGAAGTATGAGTGAGTTATTGGTTTATCTCGCTCTCACATGATTTCTTGCAATAGCAAATTATCTTTTTCATAGAGGCAGCTATACTTATGCAAATGGTATGAAATCTGTACAGTAGACTACTGAGAGGATATGTGAGCTACCATAATTTTTGTAGAATTTATTGTGCATTTTTTGTATATATTCATAAATACACCTTGATGTCTAAATAAATTAAGAAATGCTTTAAGAAAATTTATTTAGAGGTGAGCACCATGCTTTCTGGTGTTCTTTAGTCATGTGTGAAATGTTGGTAAAGTTGGTTTTGCCCAATTATGTGTTTGCAACATAAGTTAATAATTATTTTCTTGCCGATGTGGTTTATGGACAGATCTAGGAACTTAGCAAAGTTCTTCATGATAATGTGCTTTGTTTTGAAACTTGTTTATACAAAAGTTGTAGATAATTCATGTATCTAGCTTCTGTTAAAATTTGGTGTCATTTGGCCAAGTAGTTTAAGAGTTACAGCTGTTTAAAGTTGGGTTACAGAATTGATTGCTCTCTGTCTTGTTTAGACCAGTTTATGTAAATATATAATTTCGACCCACTTAACTTGTGAATCATGCTGTGATGGTTATAGATGGAATGTAGAGAATTTCAGAAGCTTTCCTAAATGTCTTGTTTCATGGCTATTGGATTTGTATAACTCTAGTTATGATCCAAACATGAAGCTGTTGTTTCCAGTCCAGAAATAGACATATGTTAGTTGTGGTTGTTACTCATGTGTTGCTAAGTGTGGCTTATGCCCTTGTTGATGGTCAAGTTATGACACTTGTGACTTTGTTAAACTTGTGTCATGCTTGATGTGCTTGCTCTCTATAGTTAGTTGTGTGATGTTAGTTAAATAGCTATTGGTGTCTATGTCTTGCATAATCTTGTGTTTGTCTTGAATGCTTATGTGATGCATCTTGTATTACCATTCTTCATATTCATGCACTTGCATCTTGCATCTCATCTAGGTGCGCTAGATGAGCCACGTGAAGGACGTGATGTTGGAGCCGAACCCGAAGACGGTGTATGGTGGACCTATCCCGAAGGTGGAAGGACTAGACAAGTGCTAGAACGGGAGATGCTCACTAAGCGAGTGTCGTCTAACAAACACTAACCTAGTGTGGGATCCCAGGCAAGCCCCGGAGCATTCTAAGTCTCCTACTTTATAAAAGCAATTCTTCCTATATATGAGCTTATATATTGTTGCATTAAGTTGTAGGAGTTGATTGAAACCGTTGATGCATTTATTACTATCCTTGCCTACCTTATTACCTTTTTACCCTGTCAGGTCGGGATCGAATAACTGCTTAGCCTTGCTTAGACCGGTAGCGATCGGTGATTTCCGGTCACCTACACTTATAGGTGGGTATTGGAAGAATTTAGCTATGGAAAGAATGATATCCTGGAATTAACCATGTATGATGGATAATTGGAGACCGGACGGAAAAAGTTCGAGGTAACGGAGCGATTGTGGTTACGGGGTCTTTGTTAGTTTTCCATACGTGTCGATTAAGGACCGATCGTTGCTCGTCCCTCTTGTCATGTTGAGCGATGCCTCACATTTAGTGACCGGATAAGCCGTTCCATTCATGAAGCTAGTAGCACTATTCGAGCCGGGATCTACATGGGTGCGGCGTATTGGTGCTGATGGGGGTATGACAGGACGCCAAGAGTGAGCCCAAGGTCATGTGCGCATACGATTCACGGCGGTCAGGCGGTCCACAGGTATCTATGGCTCCAGATTGTCCCACGGCTACCTGAATAGTGTCCTTGGTGATCTAAGCTACCCTGGCAGGGGAAGCATGGTTTGTGTGAGGAATAAATCACCAGCTGGTTAGGAATCGATTCGAATCGCCATCGCTCCTGGATAGTGAGTACTTGACTCGAGCTACAGCATCGTAGTAATTATGATGGAACACTAATGGTTATCTGGATGGTATGGGATATGCTAAATCTAAGTTGGTAACTGGATGTTGTTGGTTAATCAAGTGATTGCTATAGTATAGGTGCTTACCTAGATGGATAGGTCATAATAAAGATGATGCAAAGTACTTAAAATGGTTTCTTCATGATAGCTTATGCTTTTCGCAAATGAGTCAGCTAGCCCACTAAAGAAAGCCTTGCATACTCCTTGGTGTCATTTGTTTTGGTTTCCGACGGGTAAGTCTAGCTGACTACATTCGAGTACTCAGGGTTTATCCCACCATATTGCAGGTGAAGTTCTTGGCCTGCGGAAGATGGTGGCTAACCGCCGGTGGGCTCGGTGACTCTATATTTACTTCTCACCTATATGCTTTTATCAGAGGATGTCACTTATGCTAGCAATATATTTGGAACTTATATTAATGTAATCATTTGAAAGCTATGTTGTTTTCTCTAATCGGTTTTAAAACCCAAACTTGTACTATTATTTGTGAACCCAATTGTAATATTATTTTCGCTGCAACTCTGCGTATGTGATGTGTATTTGCTTAATCACGCGATCTTGGTTGTGATGTTGATTTACCGAGGTCCTTCGTAACACTCAGCGGACTACCGGGTTTGTATAAGTGAAAGTATGCGCGTGTCAACGTGTTAGCGGTGACAGCCATACTTGATCTTGTATAAATTGGGCGGTTCTGTCACAGGTGAGGTGGCCGGAGCTTCAAGGTACATCCCGGTTGACAAAACTGGGTTGACAACAAGGGTTCAGGGAACAATAGGATACTTGGATCCTATGTACTTTTACACCAGCCGTCTCGCCGATAAAAGTGATGTCTACAGTTTTGGTGTAATTCTTGTGGATCACTAGGAAGAAACCATTTTCGTATTTGTCTGCTGAAGGCGATGGCCTTGTTTCCCATTTTGTTAACCTACTTTCCGAGGGAAATCTTGTCCTGATAATAGATCCATAAGTTATGGAGGAGGGAGGCATAGAAGTCCAAGAAGTTGCTACACTTGCAGCATCATGTATAAATTTAAGAGGTGAGAAAAGGCCAACGATGCGACTGGTGGAACATACACTGCATGGGCTTCAAGGTCCCAAGAGGTATAACAAAGATGGTATCCTAGCTGTGGAGGTTGAAAACAATAGCATTATGACGAACTATCCATGGTTGAGTGAACAAGGGCAAAGAATTGAGAAACCAAGTAGTAGAAGATACAGTTTGGAGCAAGAGATGATGATGTCTGCAAGGTGCCCTAGGTAGCACTGCTCTGTTTGCACATTAGCATAAGAGGATTCGTTAACTTCTCCTAGGAGTAACTATACATGTGCATGACGGTTAAACTCAATGCACCGTTTCTCACCATCACTTTTGTTTCGGTAGCACGATTCCACTGTATCCACTCTCCACCTTTAATAAAAGTGTAATCCAGATGAGATCGAATTAGTAAATTGCTTTTAAATTTGTCTTGTCTCACTCAACCCCATTTACCAGTTGATTCGTACAGCTTCTCTTGGAATAACACAACACAAAGTCATGTGTTAGACGGCACTGGTGCCTTGGCATAAACTGCGGGTTGTCAAAACTGAGCATCCGGCTCAACCGCTCAGGAGTCGAGATCGCCCGTGTGCTCGGTCGGAGTACATCGATCGTATCAGCCATGATACAGTGTTTTTCTCTCACAATTAAACAGCATCAGCCAGCTTATAAGCCATAGAAACAATCAAGCAAACAGGGTGCATGTCGCCCTCCTTTTTGTGTCACTGTTTTCCTATACGTACACGTTCAGCGCATGTTATACTGAGTTACTGATGAACACATGAGGCCCACAGGGTCCACGGATGTGTGTTCGTGCCTCGTATAGAAAAATAAATTTGCGAAAGGCGCTGCCTTCAAATATCTTCTCCTACAACTAAAAATAATAAAAGTAAGACAATTTTTTTGTGCGACTTTTTTTTTGGGTCGCTCCTTCTTCCCGTCCGTGCGATCCCGCACGCCCGTCACCTCCCTCTTTCACCTGTCCATGCGGTGGACCCGGCTCTGCGCTCCCTCGTGCGCATGGTCTTCCCCTCCCCCTCTCCCACACGCGGACTCCTCCTCTCATCTCCCACACGGACGAACCCTAGCCCTCAATCACGCCGAGCTCGCCGGAACCCGCCCAACCCGAGCCCAATTCCGCTCGGTTCCTGGTCGATCCGGCGGCTCCTCACCAGCATGATCCGGGGCAGCGTCCCCCCGTGGATGCTAGCCTGATCGTGTCCCCACGATCGATGGGTTTGCCCGGGTCCGCCAATGGCAGACACGGTGAGTACGTGAGGATCCCGGAGGAGGTGGAGGTGTCCAACGGGGAGGGGGATGCCGCGGCGGCCGTCAAGGCGGCCGCGGCGGCGGAATGCCCGAGGGTGCTGCGGTGCCACGCGATCCGGTGGTGGGCCAAGGTCGCCGTGCTCGGGATCGTCCTTGCTGGGGCCGGAGCTGCTGCAGTCGTCTTCCTCGGCCCGCTCCTTATCAAGAAGGTGCGTGTTCTCGCCCCATCCCTCTTCCCTCCCCTCCGCCGCCGCCTCCTTTGAGGGGGATTGCTTGCATCATGGATCGTGCGGAAATTTCTCGCCAACGGGAGATCTTTCCTATCACTGCTATGTTCTGCTCCTGCTGTGTCCGTCGAATCGTCGGTTGCGATGCGGTTTCGATTTGTGCAGGAATGCTTGAATATTTGTTGATATTTTTGTTTGTTTGTGGTAGAAACATTTTTCCTTTGTTGGTTTGTGTTGTTATATGTTTTTTTTGTGGCTAGCTCGTGAGAATAGGTGACATGACTAATTTTCATTTTGCCAATATTACCAGCAAAAGGATGAGGTTGTCAAGAGTTTTAGGATCTCAATCTGAAGCAGAGCTTAGAATAGAATACCAATACATTTCGTTGAGATATCAGTTTTAAAGATTACTGGGACCGTATAGGATGTCATTGTTCAAAGAACACATTTAGCATTATTCCCAACGGCAATACAGGAGAAGGAGAAATGCTTTGCCAATTCTTGAAGTTTTGACATCAGCCAATGCCTCTCACTGGTATTTAGTGGCCCAATATGTGGGGTCTGCAGGCATGGTGCTCTGGACCTCCAGTAGTGTATGTGCTTTCACCAAAAGGTGGATAGGTAGGAATAGTCTCACAAACCAACTCGTTCTTGATTTTTTGGATGTTATAAGATGCGGTACAAATTTCCAGTGAACCTTATTGTGACGGGCATCATGGCTACAATTTTTTTGGTGGCCTTCTTAATTAAACAAACCCACTTTGGTTGAGAAAATCATATTCGCAACAAGCAACTTCACATGGAAGTGATACCTGGAACAAGTACAGCTTGTGCTACCGTTCTGACTCTGGACCCACTTGAGTGGTCTTCCTTGGAAGCAAACTCTGTTGTGAAAGCTATTCCCCAGAGTTGGTACAAATAGTTTTCCATTTTCTGTCCATGCTCCTGTTATCATAGTTAACTTCAGGAGGAATACTCCACAAGTCTTTTTTGGCAATATGTTTTCGTTGGATGTTGATGTAGTTGGTGATAAATTACACTTTGCTAGCTTATTTTATTGTAGTGTTCAAGGATTTTAATATATTATGACACAGAATATTAATTGATCTCTTTGGAAGTCAATTTTATTTTGGGTGTCTACATTGGATGAGGGTGTCATGTGAATTTGTAGAGTAGACTTGAAATTGTCATAGTGTGCTATGACTCTTGGAAAACAAAAAATCTTGCCCCAATGAGCCATAACATTCTGTTAATTCTAATCATTGCCTGTGATTGGCCTTTATATCTAAGATATGAACTGATGCTCCATCTGTGCTTGCACTGCAACGTAAATTGACTGGAATGGATTGAAATTGTTTTCAAATTAATGTTTACAGCTCTACCTACAATTACTAACTAAACTTTATTATCCCTTCCAAAGGTTTACAATATTAAGTCAGATCAGACACTTATTACAATAAAGTCAATAGCATGTTCAAGGAGCAGCTGTAATTAGAGGTCATGTGCCTGTGGACGCTACTTGTTTGCGTCACTTCAAAGTAAATTATATGAGAGAGTTCTCCCGGGAAGTTGATGATCATTCGTGTTATGCTGACATCTTCATTTCAGCTGATCAGAGAGCTTACAGTTCCATTCTGTTGAATTAAGTGAATAAGCTGGCTGCATCATCTATTTATCGGCACCAATTTAGTGTGACCACCTTATAGTCCACTTGAATAGAGGTGTTGGCTTTCTTTAATAACTTTTGACGCCCCAGATATCCCTGGATTGCGTTCTTAGTTTCTTGCTGACCCTGATTTCCATGTTGTCATTGTAGGTTGTTGCACCTATTCTTTACTGGGAATCAACAACTTTCAGTAGACCAGCTATTGCTCTAATATGTTTTGGCGCAATCGCCTTATTCCCAAGTGTTTTGTTACCTTCTTCGCCCTTCATGTGGCTTGCGGGGATGACTTTTGGATATCTTTATAACTTTTTGATAATCACAGTGGGGATGAGCATAGGCATATCATTGCCGTATTTTATAGGCTCTGCATTCCACTGTAGGATACATGTGAGTCAATTACTGTCGTTTTTCTTATGTTTTATCCAAATAGAATAGGAAACAGATTAGCAAATTACTTAGTTTTGAAAATATGGTTGTTATTTGTTCTGCAGAGATGGTTGGAGAAGTGGCCAAAGAAAGCAGCTTTTGTAAGGCTTGCTGGTGAAGGAGATTGGCATCATCAATTTAAGGCTGTTGCATTACTAAGGATTTCTCCATTTCCATATATAGTTTTTTACTATGCTTCTATGGCTACGAATGTCAAATATTACCCATACATAGCTGGAACAATACATGAAACTTTTCTTGCAATATACAGGTTTGTACTTACCTCATGTCTTCTGTTCTTTTGATCTTTTTTTTCTGCTCCCTGATCATGTCTGATACTCATTGTGGTGAATTTGTGTTATTAAATAAATATACAACACTTTGGATGAAACCTTTAGCGTGTTATATCTAATTTACTCTTTGTGATAGCTGGTGAATTTGTGTTATTAAATAAATATACAGGCCCGTCGAGCGGCTTCCTAAAGGCGGCGTGCAGAGTGCTCTTCAGCCGTGGCGGCAGCGGCCACAGCGGCCCATCGCGTGGCGGCACGGATCCACTAAGGTGCGGTGAGCCTTCATCATGGCTCCGTCGACGTTGCCAACTCCTGCGCCGGTAAAGCTCCCACCCCTCGCCTCCTGTTTCTCTGTCCATCGCTAGGGTTTGCGCCGCTCAGGGTGCACTGATCGATCTGCTCTCCCAGTCCGCCAATCCCTGGATCGATCCATGCCCGGGCTCAGCCCGCCCCGGGGTTCCGATCTGTTCCTCGCCTCGCTGGAGGAGGAGCCGGAGGAGATGAACAGCGCTGGGGTTCCGATCTGCTCCCATCCCTGAACCGATTCGTTCTTGGTACAATAAATGCATATTCAGAAAGGTTCTTTATTTGATTCAATTGTGCGTTTGCGGGTACTTGATTGGTACTATTTACTGGTAACTATAGTTGAAGGACTCTAATGTATATATTGACTACTACCATTGAGATCAGGTTTCTCTGTTTTACTACTATCATTGAAGTCAAATCAGGTTGTGATGTATATATTGACTTTTGTTCCTTTACAAATGCAGTGGAAAAAAATCAGTTTGGATTTCATCTCATAGGGCAAAAGAAATAGTCATAATGACAGGACCAATGCAACAAGAATTATATTATTTTTCTTGGTTTACAGCTACCTTCGGTGTATGCGTTGCCAATTTATTTGAGATGGAGTACCTGTTTATACATTCTCCTGTTTGTAAAGAACAAGGTAGAAAAATTGTACTCCTTTTCACTTTTAGACTACATATGTTTCCTATGTTTGATGATGGATTAGCAATTTGTGAACTGCTACCGTACTCATTGCAGGAAATTGAGAAGGTTGTTGAAAGAGATCTTACTGAACTCATATGGAGTTGACTTGATGTTGCATAACGTGATTGAAATATCTGGACAAGCATAGGCTAAGAGAAGTTGAACCAGCAATCAAGGTTTATGGTCTAATTTTCTTTAAGGCTATTGAGTGAGGTTTTTCTTTTTTGAAATTGGGAGAGTGGAGATAAACTTTTGGTTGGAGATTTTCTGTGATGAGTACTGATTATCTGCTTTACTGGTAGCGAATATATGGATGCAATGTTATCTCACATTGTAGGCAAAGGACAAGGCTTGTTTCTTTTTGGGTGCTTCAGTGCTTTTCTACTCATCTGATAATCTGAATATCTGGTCCTCTACATAAATTGAAAATGATTGTACTCATGGTATAGTGTCCAGACCATGCATGGCAAAAATGGTGCATATTTTTTATATTATGGGCATGATAACCTAAGATAGTCGCATACAAAACCCCTTCTTCAACCTCCTCCACCTTTTTTGTGTCGTTCCTAACTGCCATTAGTAGCTTGTTGACTGTTAGGCTTAGGTTAAGGCCTTGTGTTGGGCCCGAGGTTTAGTAGGGATTGTTTGATACCAATCTTTTTCTTCCTTCGGAATGCCATCATCTGCAAAAGGCTTATTCTTGTCGTTAACATGAGGCTTTCTTCATGAGGCTTTTCATGGTTTTGTAGAATGACGACAATACATAAGGAGGCGTCAATGAGCATAAATTGAGTGATTAATTTTCATGGCACTGCGGGCTTTCACCGCACTGCAGGCTTTCACCTTCAGGTTGTGAGAGGTCGGGTGATTTGTTGGAGCGGCCGGTATTTAGGCAAAGTATGGGCACTAAACTAAAAAACTATATATGTAACTACAAATACGGTTTGTGATTGTTATGAGTAGGAGATGCATGGGTATTTAAATAAATGTCTCCATCCAAAATTACAACTATGGGCTACAAACGGATTGTTGCGAACGTCACGGTCGAAATCATTTTTTTAAGGGTTAAGTCCAATTTACACCCTCCAACTTGCAGCAAAGTTCGGATTTCAACCTCGAACTTCAAAACCGGACAACTTTGGCCTTTCAACTCTCGAAAAAGTTCAACTTTCGACCTTCCGAGCGGTTTTGCGGGTGAACAGTAACTTTTGATATTTTCGGGAGCGCCGAAATTTTATATTATTTTTTCGAGCATCTTAACGTCCTCAAATGAACAAACTCAAAACTACAAAGTTGTAGATCTCATCGAGGTCTACAATTTATATATAAAAATTATCTTCATCCGACATCGTATTGAAGGGTTTTCTATTTTTTGAAATTTGAGTCTCATCACGCGATAAAATATGGTGCTGAAATTTTATATTATTTTTTCGAGCATCTTAGTGTCCTCAAATAAAAAAACTCAAAACTACAAAGTTGTAGATCTCATCGAGGTCTACAACTTACATATAAAAATTATCTTCATCCGACATCGTATTGAAGGGTTTTCTATTTTTTGAAATTTGAGTCTCATCATGCGTGAAATAATTTTGTCCCGTGATGAGACTCAAATTTCAAAAAATAGAAAACCCTTCAATACGATGTCCTATGAAGATAATTTTTATATGTAAATTATAGACCTCGATGAGATCTACAACTTTGTAGTTTTGAGTTTTTTCATTTGAGAACAGTAAGATGCTCGAAAAAATAATATAAAATTTCAGCACCATATTTTATCGTGTGATGAGACTCAAATTTTAAAAAATAGAAAACCCTTCAATACGATGTTGGATGAAGATAATTTTTATATGTAAATTGTAGACCTCGATGAGATCTACAATTTTGTAGTTTTGAGTTTTTTCATTTGAGGACGTTAAGATGCTCGAAAAAATAATATAAAATTTCGGCGCTCCCGAAAATATCAAAAGTTACTGTTTACCCGCAAAACCGTTTAGAAGGTTGAAAGTTGAACTTTTTCGAGAGTTGGAGGGCCAAAGTTGTCCGGTTTTGAAGTTCGAGGTTGAAATCCGAACTTTGCTGCAAGTTGGAGGGTGTAAATTGGACTTAACCCTTTTTTTAACAATACAACGCACGATCGAATTTAAATTATCGTGGCATTATCTTGTTCCCGTTGCAACGCACGGGCATGATCCTAGCCGCATCATGGAAAAGTCTATACAATAGAGTTGTGAGCCTGCGACACCGCGCTCTCCGTGACTATTAATTTCACAAACTATATTTTTTGATTAACTGTCACTTTAACGTTTGTATTTAATTTTTACGGTATTGCTATCTTATCATGCGATCCGTGTGTTTTTACTATAAATTGTTAGTTATCCCGTAGCAACGCACGGGCACGCTACCTAGTAAAAACCATAAATTGCACCCCAAACCACCCCCGCCCCGAGCCGCGCCTTTTCCGAGTTCGGACTCAATCCGCTCGGCCTCGCTCGCAACTTCCCGTGCCGCGCGACTCCGCTGGGCGCTGCCGCTCGCCGCTCGCTGCTCGGCCGCTCGCGGCATGCCCCCCCTGCTCGCGAGCGCCCAGCCCCGGGGGCAGCGGCGCGACGCCCAGCCCTTGAGTTGGCACGCCCCGGCCCCGGCGCCCTGTCCGCGGCGCGGCGGCAGCCAGCCCCAGCCCCGCCCCGAGCACCGCATCCAGGCCGGCCACAGCAGCAGCATCCTCCTCGCTTGCTCCCTCGCCCTTCCATTCGCCGCCTCCGCCACGGACGCGAGGAGCGAGGACGCGCCTGCTCCAACACCATTCCGTTTTGCCCCGCCGCCGCTGCGGACGCGAGGAGCGCCGACGCCTCGGCGCCCGCCTCTCGGCCGCCTCCACTGATGTGTGTTTGTCAGGAATATAACGAAAGAGTGAAAGCATCTCCCTGGCTCTATGACGAAAGGGGCTTATATGGCCATCGCAGTTTAGTAAATCAACTTGTTCAGAATTTATCAGGAATACTGAAAACTGTCCATCATATTGCTCTATGGCCCCTTTCACTCCCATGGATGGATGGAACAAGAGAGAGTGCCTATTTTAAGATGGCAGGCAACTGAAGTTAAGATGGCATGTAATTTGCGGTTACCACACTATCAGTGCTGCGCCCCTGAACCTGATAGTGTCCTAACAGGGGCGGCTATCAGGGGCAGGACTTCTTTTGGCGAAAAGTTGTCCCTATGACCACTGACTAGGCAAAGGACCATTTCTGTCTGATCTTGAGGCCCTTTCCCCTGATGAACTGTCGCTTAAGAATCTGAACCTTAGTGCCCAGGAAGATAAAAATGCCTGATCAGTGCCAATTCTACATCCATAATTGATTAGAAGTGGTTTAATGCCATTTTGGGCTGGCCCTGCCTCAAAACTTATAAATTAGCACAGTTATTGAATTTGTGGACAATGGGTGTAATACAATAACCATTATATGTATCGTGGCAATAATCATTAAATTTAGTTCTTCTATTTTTTTTTCTCAAGGGGACCTGTTTGCTGTTTTGCTAAGAATCCAGAATTGACAGTCATTTGGTGGTAACATCGGGACATTGCTGCTCATGTATTTATACGAAAATTGTTCCTTCTGATGTCTCTCTGATAGGAGGGAAAATGGTTGGGAGGGAGGACTGCAGACTTCACCTGAAAAATTCTATATTGGCAGGCTTAATGTAGGCATAGCATTCTTCAGGTCTAGGAATGCCACCAACCTATCATTTAGCCAAAAAAAAAAAAAAAAAAAAGCAGACCCTATAAGTAATAGACTGTATGGTGTAAGTAATTTACGCTTGGCTGTATAGCACAGCATGCCTCATGTAATTTAGATTTGGCAATGGACCGTGAATCTTTTCCCCTTTTTTGAACATTACAGTATGCCTCCTGTAATTAGTCGAGCCAGAACAAATAATGTTTCTTTTTTATTAACTGATGCAAAAGGACATTCCAAAATCCATCTTTTACCCAACAATGTGGTTTTCTGATAATCCAATTATACTACAGACGCTGATGTGATACTCTGATGGAATCCTATTTTTTTTATTATCTTTGATAGTTCTTTTTTTTTTGAAAAAAGTGTTGTTCAGAGAAACTGTTGTGTTTTTATTAATCCTGTCTGATGGAATATTTATTAGAAATTGGTATCTGGTTACACGTCATTTGACCTCGTGGTGTTCATATAACAGGTTTGTGATTGTAAAAACCTGTAAAGGGATCGAGTAGAGAGAAGATCAAGTCAGGCCATCCAGCATTGGCCAACAACGAGGTGCCGACCAAAGAAACACTTAAGAAGATTTCTCAGTACATTGGACTGTAGATAACTCATGTTTATTCCAGTCATGTTTTAAAGATATCCAGATTAGAGAGCACTGATATGCTACACAAAACCTGCTTCATAAGTCTATGTGATGTGGTTATGTTCATATAAATAGAATTTCTTATTTAGTGTATACATAGTTGCTGAAAAAGGCTGCATATCTTCCATCATGTTGGTCAATGATTCCTGACAATCCTAGCCATCTCAACAGCCATCCTGACTTATATTTTTAGTCTCAATTTGCACCAATGCATAGAAAAACAATATGAGGTCAACTAGAACCATTGGTTTAACGGTTCATGTTATTTGCTCTACTTGTTCATCTTACTGATAGAGATCCTACAATCATGTGTCCATGGATTACTTTGTCCTTCAGTACTTAGTTGTTACAACCTGGCCATGTCTCTTCCTATTACAGATTAATTGTCGGTGTTTTCGGACCACCGACGAGTAAATTTGTATTTGCGCGTCTGGCTGGGATGGTGTGCTCGGAGGATACAAGGGTTTATACTGGTTCGGACGGAACCCTAGCTACGTCCAGTTTGCTGCTGCTCGTTTTACCGCCACTTGGTTTGCAGTAGGAGTTGCAAACGGGCGAGAGAGGGAAAGGATCCCAAGTCCCTGGTGGAAGGAGTGAACGGGTGCTGAAAGCTCGATCGCTGCAAAGCCATATGTTCGTGTCTCTTGTGTTTTTATCTCGTGGTTCGGTCCCGTGCCGATCTGGATTTCCTTCATAGGGCGCCCTGCTTCCCCTTTATAGGCGAAGGAAAAGCGCGGGTTACAGCGGAGGAAAAGGAGAAGAACAAGA